CCAAGGTTGGCATCAATGACTACAAAGGTAAATCCTGTACCCATGCAGCTCTGATGTGCTTGAGTTCATTCGCAGAATGCAGCCACCTGCATGGCATCAGAGTCTGTTCAGCGTGGCAGAGGAGAATGTGCCGCCATAACCAGGAGCCTGACCTCAGCCTCCAAAACAGTCAGCACACACTTCTCACTGAGCTTCCTGATGATCCCACCTTACTTAACTTCTTGATGATCCTAATCCTGGATCCCTGCTCCATCTTCTTAATTATGCTAACTTTACATATCTTAGGGTTTTTTAAATATATAAGATAACATAAATCAAATTTTAAATAGGACAGGGTGTACATATAAAATTGACTTATTTAGATATATACTCATTGATTAAAAAGTATTACAAAGGAGTATGCATACTCCTTTGATTTGATTAATACTAAGATATATTTTTTTTTCCACAGAGAAAAAGGCCTCATGAGCAAAATTTAATCAGTAGGTAGCCGTATAATTAACACATTCACTTTGGGGAATGAATCCTTATATGGCAAAATATTGCCCTCTCCAGGTAGAGGATACCTAGATCCATCCTAACACACTTGCTGTGTCTGGTCTGCTGGATATAAGGGACGACTGGAAACTACTAACACTGTAATATAGTGGGGAGCAGCGGGACTGCAGGGGCCATTGCTAGCTGGCTCTCTGGACAGGACCTCCTTGTCACTTGGGAAGTGACCTAAGAGGCCAAGAGCGGGACTCGGAGGCAAAGTCCAGGCCCAGCTGGTGTCTCTCCTTTGGTGACCATGTGAAAGGTTTATGATTTTGCTACATTATATAATAAGACTACAGGTTGTCTATTTCTTCGTCAAATCCATATAAAAATACATTTAGAAATTTAGTAGACACTAAAGCTTCTTAGTGGATGTTACACATTTTCACGGAGCAAAGTGTCACCGACTGACAGAGGTGAACTGAATTCACATCTTCTTTATCAAAATGTCTATAAGATGAAAGAATTTAGAGATTCTTTGGGGCCTCTGCAGCTCTCTTCATCTTTAAAGTGAGCGGCTAACGCTAATGTGCCTATGATATTTTCCCAACTCTCTCACCCAAGGTCTCTGCTGAAGTGGCTGTTTTTAAAGAAATAATTCTCAGCTATTAAATAGAACAATAGTTTGGAATCCAAAGTTGTAAAACCATAATTTCCACAGAGGCCATTAAGATATACAAGAAATAAATTTTATTTCAAGTTTCTTCAGTGGACCGTCCTGTGGCCTCACACTTCAGCTGGCTCCAGAAAAGCTCTTGCGAGGAACACGGATTCTGGAAAGGGGACCCGAGAAGAGGAAGGGAGAGGAACAAAGGGAATGGAAGGTGAAGGAAGGGGAGGAAAAGGAAGAGGCGGCTGAGAAGGGCAAGAAGGAGGGGGCATGCCAGATCTCACACTGGTCACGGAAGATGGAGGGTCCCTTGAGGCAGAAGCGAGGGGGCAACGCCCAGAGTGCTCTCCCTGTAATTCCTTCTACAGTCCAAGCTTCGGTATCCGGGTCTAATCCCTCCCCACCACAGGCTGCCTGCTCCATGCACACATGGCATCTAGAGCAGCGCAAGAGGAGGGGACGTGTTGCGTAATCTTGGGCGTCTCTAACGGTTCTTCTGTCTCTAGAATGCCCCGTGGAACTTTTAGGTAGAGCCACACCCATCCCACCCCAAGCGCCGACCTTGTCATTCACATTATATCAGCACAAGAAACTGAAGAATGGAAATCACAACAAGAAAAAACTCCAATACATGTTTTAAGTTTCTATTGTCCATGCTGGTATCTGAATTGCACCTTGTCTGGACCACGTGGCTCTTTCCCACTTCTGTTCTTATAATGTCGATTTTGAAGATATCAGCCACAAAATAAAGAGCCCCATTTCCTGACTACTAACAGCGCTAAGGGAAACGTAAGACAGTTTCACCATGTCCTGCATGGCTCCAATAACTGGTAATGAGAGTTGCCTAGAGACATTCTAAAGCATGCACAGTCACAATTCAAAAAGGATTCCAGAAACCATATTCTAGACAAGATCTAGTCATCTTTCAGAGATAATAAACGGACAATGGGTAGGACTATAGAAACGTCTGCTATATATACTTCATAAAGTTTTATTTGTATTTATCAAGAAATTTACACAGACCCACACAGATATATCCTGCTTTTCATTCTCAATAATAATTTTATGCAGCCATCATCTTTCCAAGGAGCATAATCTGCCTTTGTGTCTCACGCCAGGTCTTAATCTAGAGTTCTTCAGCTGAATGTTGTGACCACGTGATGACTTAAATCAAAATTAATTAAAATGAAATAAAATTAAGGATCCAGCTTCTCAATCTCAGTAGGCACATTTCCGAAGCTTGGGGGCCACATATGGCCAGTGGGACCGCAGCAGCTGCAAACGTGCAATGTTCCCACATTCATGGAGCTGTGGGACACTCATCTCCAGAGATTTGGGAGCAGACGAACATGTCCGTGTACACAGAACTATTCCATCAGGTCAAGATGAGGGCCGGGAACGGGCACCTGCCGCGCTCTGGCTTCTAGCCCCTTAATTTATAAGGGGCTCTACAACGGCTTTTACTTTATCAAGGCAGGTACAGCTAATCCTGAACAAGGAGAAGGGGATTTGATGACTTGGGCGGACATTCCTGTCTCTTGGCAGATTGGAACTGCCTTTAGCACAGCTTACTGGCAGTGAGCGCTAAGTATTTCAAGCCACAGGGCTTTTGGAATTTTTATAACTTAACTGCACACACTCTCAGGGCACTTGGAAATGCCCTTGGAGACCCCAGCTGTCTCAGGGAGTATTGAGAAAGGCCTGTTACTACTTGGGAAAATTTTGTCCCTGGACAGTCTGCAGTGAGAAAGGCAGAGTGGTTTATGAATAGGCATTTGGTTCATGGGAACTTGTTTTTGTTTCTCACCGTCAGTATCAAAGCCCTGTCCTTAGGGATGGTACACTAAATACCTCTCCTGCTCCTCCTAAGCACCAAATTGTGCCCACAAGAAGCACAATGAATAAATATGAGCACACCGAGGGTGTCCACCAACTTATATCTAATAACATCAGTATCTTATTTTGATGTCATAGTCATGCCGGAATACAGCAACAAAGTCCCAAGAGACAGACCCCACAGATTCTGGGATGAGACATCTCTCCAAACTTATGCACTCTGCAGCTAGTGCCGGTAAACATTGTTTCTTTTCGTCATTGCTTTGGCTTACTCATTCAGCCGGTAATCAAGAGTAGTCTCAACCAATCAATTCCCAGGCAGAAAGGCAGCACTTACCCCGATTGAATGTTAGACTCACAAACATGAAATAAAAATATTTACCTCCTTATTAAGTATTTCTTAATAATTTATTTTCAAGGCAATTTTTCTAACCTCGATCCTTCTAATGTTGTATTATTGAATGAGAGGGAAATACGTCTATATTACAAATATAGATGTACCATGGATGTAATTTATGTGTAGGTTACACTTACTTAAAATATCCTAAACCATTTACTTATAAACTATTCGAAAATCTTAACAGCATTAGTTAAGATTTTGAGAAACTTTCTGTTTCTTTATATCAACCAGATCATAGCTAATCAAACACAAAATCCATGTGGTGAATCAAATACAAACAGGCCCAGACCCACGGTGTATGTTGAAATGTACACTCAGGCTGAGACTACCATATTCCAAGTAGGTCTACTTGGTAGGCATCTTTCTTCACCCCCCCCCCACATGTTCACAGAGCACACCCCCATTCAACTTGTAATGGATCAAAGGGAAACAAGGACCCTCACCTCCCTCACTAAAAGTGTACAGCAAAGTTTAATGATAAGGATTCTGCCATATTTTCGTTTTGTCATTGGTAACACATATAAGTTCAGACGACTGCTCAAAACCTAGAAAGAATAGATACACACTGGATATAATCCACACAGCGCTCTCTGCTTTCCTGTGTGGGAGGGGAAAGGGTAAGTTTAATACACCTCCACCAGCTATTAGCCTGGTAAATTCCTGAATTCAACAACTTTGAGTTTCCATGCTAATTTATCTGTTCCTAACTATAGACAGCTCACACATCCGCCTCCAGACAAAGGCACCGACGTGAATTTCTTCGGCTCATGTGTCAGTTGCTTCTTGTAATTGAGGATGTTTGGCCCGAACCTTTTGTCTGCCTTAACCTCATGTGATACTCGACCTCCTGCTGCAGCTTTGCTGTCTTTAGGCAGAGAGGCCTTTTCAGGTGATAAATATCACCGAAAGCAGAGCTGTTCATAACAAAAATAATTAAATAGCAGAATTGCTTGGAGATTGCATCCATTCCTCAAGTAAATGTAAAGCCTTCTCCTGTTAGACTCACTTGTTTTCAAAAGGCATGTCGGCAAGCCGCTGGAGAAAAGGCATGGCCACATTAAGATGGCGTCATTAGGTAATACATTTATTTTGAAGCCAATTAGCCTTTTGTCGGGGGAGCATTCGTGCTGTAATGGCTTGGCTGGCGAGGTCAGCCTCTAACAGGCAAGGATGACAGCCCTGTCCCAGCCGATGGTAGCGCGGAGTTGGGATAGAGGAGCCACCTTCTTGTGTATTCCACTCTGCATTCCCAGGGAGCACACAGCCCTGACCCATCCATTTAGGTAATTAAAGCTTCCATTTGGAAGTGTCCTGCAGGAAGGTGAAATCTGGGGGAGATAAATGGCAGTTGCTCTCTGCATCCAGCCGCCAGGTCCGTCATTTGATGGACCGCTGGAAACAGGCCGGGCTGCCAGGCTCTCATAAAAATAGAGATGAATTGGGCTGCAGACAATTCTCTAAGGCGAAGCAACTCTGTCATTTTCTTCTTTGAGGGCTATAATTTAATTGTTAGTCAAGGCGGATGGCTGACACAGGGGGCCCTGAGAGCTCGCCCACCACCACTTGTTTGCCGATTTCCCGCAAGCGCAGCTGGCTGTCACAGCTGCCCAGACTTACCTTCCAGGCAATTTTGTTTCCTTTCGAGTCGTGCTCAAGGGCGATTGGGAAGTCTCCACGCTCATAAAATTTTCGGAATGCCGTGGGCTTGGTTGGCCTTTCTTTAAATGCCCCTGCAGCTGGAGGGCCCCTCACCTAGAAAAGGGGGAAAATAATCTTTAACTTTTAAAATAGATTTAAAAAAAAAACTTGGTAGAAAGTATATTTGAAATAAAGTCCAAACTGCTTAACCAGGGACAACAGAAATCTTCCGTTAACACATTCAGGGGCTAGTTTGTTTTTAGTTACCTTAGAAAGCACGGCACAAGGCCACTTTAAACATCCTTGTGTAAAGAAGGGAAGCCAGACTCTAAGGGACACTCAGCAGAGCTCAGAGAATTAGAACGGCTGTGGCACTCAGGTCTGGGGTTGTTGGAGGATCATGAAACAGTAAATTTAAAATATTTCCTTTGAAGTCTCTGTCTCTCTCTGTGGGTAGGAAATGATGACCTAGGTTATTATAAATATTAAGAACAAAACCAAAGAATATGATATGAAATGAGTGATAAATTAGGGAGTTTCTAAAGAAAGGTGACCTACAAGGTTGCGTTCAGCAATCTCAATTCAACAGGAAGCAATATTAGAATAAATTGTATAAAAAAAAGTGTCTCTCCCCAAACTGCATTCTCCACTAAACGGGAAATGCTTTCTGTATTATTCGTGCTGAGTGTTAGCATTAAATCTGCATTAGCTATATCCGAACTAACCCACTAAGTTTAAAATTGAATATTAAAAAGCCTATTCATAAAAGTGCAGTCTACTGAATTGTTACAGTACAGACAAACATGTTGATTCTTCTTACTTGCTGTAAAAAGGTAACTTCCAGTCATTTCACATACTAGTTTAACAGAATTACAATTTTTCTCTAACAATAAAGACAAATAGACAAATAATTTAGCTTAGTTTTGTTTTTTGTATTAATTTATAATGCTTCTGTTAAAACTTTCATTTTAAGAAATATATTTACATCTGCAACAATGCCATAAAGTACACACAAAATATAGGATGAATACATTGCCTCTAGGCCATAAATGAAGTGGAGTATTTGAAGCTGGGGGATATTAAGAAATAGGGACATAGCGGGATGCTGAAACAGAGGACCGGGCACTCACTAGAGCTCCAGCTGCAGTCGTAGAGTGCGCTGACTCCCAGCATGCGCTCCACTCTATGCTCCACTCTAACTGATGGGCGATCACCTTTGAGAGCCTACAAAACTTTCTCCAGGGTTTGAAATTTCTACTGGCTCATAATTACTCATCACCACCACATCCAGCCAAATTCGCTCACGTTAAGAATGGCCACAGACATCCGACAGCTACGTGGCACGGATTTCTGAGCCATGAGCCGGACACGGAGGAGACTGTTTTATCTTATTGCTGTCACAGAACTGCACAGCAGAGACCGAGCTGAGATGCCGCACTTTCGCACCTCATCAAGTATTACGTTTTGTGAATTAAGGGCTACCATTTTTTCTTTTGCCAAAAATTCTTAAAAGAAAATAAAAAGATTACCATGTGCCAACATAACACCATTTTAACACCACCAGGAAAAGCGGTAGACTAAAATCTAAAAAGAGAAAACTTGGCCAAAGTAAGGCATCGTGGAAGCACAAACACACTCATTGAGCGGCGGGGCTGCGGTGCCCGGGAACTATTAACGTGTGGACGGGTGTGTTGAGAGTCACAGTGGTGCGGCGCCTGGGAACTGTTAGCGTGTGGACGGATGCGTACGTCACTATTAGAGTCTATAGATGAGTGGGCAGCACAAATCTCATTTACTTTATTTCTCTTATTTGATTTTGTAGATCCCCATGCACTCGGAGGAAATATTACATAAATCCCATGTGCTCTTCATGGAGTTTCCCTGGGGTGGTATATATTGAGAAGCTATGAGACCATATCACAATTAGGCTACTGACAATGATATAGATGGTCATGGGATCCCTGTTTCTTTTAGGTAGTTATATACACCCTCAGCATCAGTCCCGATCCCAGTTCTTTATCTCTTGGTAGCAACTATCTCTTCCTCATTTCTAGAGTTCGGTCATTCCAAGAATCATATCGTGTATAACCCCTTGGAATTGACTCCCCACCTAGATGATTCCTGGAGACTCACATACATGTTTTTCAAAATAATTCAATACTTTCTAGTACTAGAGAGTATTCTGTGCCATGGACCTAGTACAGCTTGTTAAACATTCACCAGTAAACGTATCTGGGTTGTCTCCTTGGGGGCTAGTATAACTGAAGCTATGAAGTTTTCTAAGTGGTCATTACCAAATAGAGAGTGTCCTTACCTTCTCCCCACTTCCTTTCCTCCAAAGTTTTAAAATTATGGATGAATGCCATTTTTTTTCCAAATGTGGAAACTTTTCTACATCAATTAATATGTTATGTGATTTTTCTTTTGGCCTCTTTGATAATGGAGGTTTGAGATTTGGGAAATATAATCCTATTTGCTTGAGTTACCCAGCTACTCAAATCATGTTTCCTATGACTGAATTATAGTGACTCATATTTTTGAAGCGATTTGCCCATTTCACCTAGATTATCAAAATGATCCACTAGCGTGTTTCTCAAGACTGCAGGATATGTAATGATATCCATAATTCATTTCTGATACTTGACAATTAGTGTCTCTTTCATTGTCAGTACGTAGATGTTTACTGTTTCTCTATGGAGACTCATTCTTTGCCTCCACATCGACTCCATAGTCTGTGCTTTCCCATCATTTGTGTTTATTTCCGTTTTTCCTACTTGATTTGCAATTATCTTTCTTTCTGTTTTACGGAAGCTTAGATGGTTGATTGGAGAGTCCCCTCTTTTTCAATGTCAGCATGCACTGCTGCAGCTTTTCAGTGTCAGCATGCACTGCTGCAGCTTTTCAGTGTTGGCAGGCATGGCTGCAGCTGTTCAATGTCAATGCCCACTGCTGCAGCCTTTCAATGTCTGCACACACAGCTTCAGCTTTTCAATTCCGGCACACACAGCTTCAGCTATTCAATGTTGGCATGCACTGCTGCAGCTATTCAATGTTGGCATGCACTGCTGTAGCTTTTCAATGTTGGCATGCACTGCTGCAGCTGTTCAATGTCAGTGTCCACTGCTGCAGCCTTCCAATGCCAGCATGTACTGCCGCAGCTCCCTCAGCACTGTACTGAGGGCACAAGGCTGTTAGAAGTAGCAAAGAATTTTCACCTACTCCACTGATTTTCAAAACTTTCCTGGGTTCCTGTGTACTATCTAGATATATTTTTTTAAGTTTGTTAAGGTTTGCTTTATGATCCAGAACATGGGTCAATATGATAAATATTCTGTAGCTATTCCTAATACATATGTGTTTTCTGTTACTGCTTAGGGTGTTCTAGATGTTCTGATTAGAGCCTGTCCCAGTCAGGCTTCTACTGTTGTGATAAACATCATGACTGAAACCAAGTTGGGAACAAATACGTTTATTTCAGCGTAAGTTGTATTCCATCACCCCATCACTGAGGAGCCAGGGCAGGAACTCAAGGCAGGAGCCTGGGAGGCAGGAGCCTGGGAGGCAGGAGCCTGGGAGGCAGGAGCCTGGGAGGCAGGAGCCTGGGAGGCAGGAGAACTGGCTCAGGGTGGGGCACTGCCTACAGTGGGCTCAACCTTCCCACAGGAAGCCCTGCAGACCTGCCTACGGACGAGCTGATGGAGACAGTCCCTCAGTGAGATTCCCTCTTCCCAGACATATGTAGGCTTGTGTCAAAGAAACAAAAACGACCAGCTTGGCCACATTTCCTGATAAAGGTGCTGCATTCTCTGTACTCTTTTGGCTTCCTGAGAGTTATTTTACACGCTGTTGAAAGAAGACGGCCTCCAGCGAAAGCTGTGGATCTGTCCAGTGCTCTGCATGTCCGTGATGTTTGTTTCACATATTTGGCCACACTCTGTTCTGCTATGTTCACGCACACTTAGGGCATTTATGACTTCTAGGCAGAATCACCATTTGTAATATGGATTGTTTCTAGACTAACTTCTACTTCATTGTGCAATGATCCTCTCTGTCTCTGGAAATTCTCCTTTGTAATACACCTATAGCCATGTCAATTCCTCTTTCTTATAAGCAGAGTTGAGATACTAAAGATATTTTCGCATAGACTTTAAGCACCAGAGTTAGGAGGAAGACAGGTGCTCTGGATAAAGTAAGATATATATTAGAACACAGGTGTGGGGGCACTTCTCTTAAAAAAGATAATCAAAATTATATTTTAATTAGCATTTATGTCATATTATCTTTATCCATTTCCTTAAACTTTCAACATGACTTTCATTATATTTGAAGATATTTTTAGATAATATAACATTGAGTTATATTATGTAATTCACTTTATCCATCTCTGCCATTTGCTTGGTATACCTAGATCACTTACATTCGGTGTACTTCTACAGTAAGAATTAATATGCCATCTTTATTTGCTTTGCTTTTCCTTGTTCAATTTTTAAAAGTTATTTTATCCTTCCTGTGAGTAATTGGATGAATTTAGAGTTACATTTTGATGTGGCAGTTTGAGTATCACTATAAAGTTTTTTTTTTACAGTGATTGGTCTGACTATTACATTATATGAATAACATATCTTAATTATTAGTATTGTTAGCAGTTCTTACAAAATGTAGACATCTTATATGTTTACATATTCTATTACTAGCTATAATTGCCTAGATTTATTCTTCTACATGATTAAGAGCCACATCAAACCCTCAGGCTCTCAGGCACGGCTTATTTTCTTCCAGACAACCTCACCTCCTCTCAACCTTAATCTATCCTTTGTACTTACTCATATCTCCCCGTGTCCTTCCTCCCAGATGTCCCTAAAGTCTTTCCTTAATGCTTCCTTTCTGGTAGAGAACTCTCTCAGACATTCTCTCAGGACAGAGATGCTGGGAACACGCTCCCTTAGTTCTCAGCCACCTGAGGATGACCCGGTTGTATTTCAGAGACAATATTTCAGCAGGTTATAGCATTTGCCACTCACAGTTCTTCCCTTTAGGCCTTAGAAAACAGCACCGCTTCTGTGTCCCCTCCATGGTTGCTGGAGACAAGTTCATTGTCCTTCAGATGTCTGACGTTTCCTCCGCGCCCCAGGGCTCCATCTTCCTTGTCTTTAGTGTTCAGAACTTCTTGATACACCTTGGTATGCATTTCCTGTTTGAAAATTTTGTAGCTCTATGAACCTGAAGATTATTGCTCACTCTCTAAGTGGAAGGTTTGTATACCTTCCTTCTTTGGATGATTTTTCAGACATGACTTCTCTTTCTCACTTCTTTATTCCAAAGACACCAAACTTTTAATTATGAATCTTCCATTCAATTCTTCCTTCTTTATTTGCTGGGACTTTCTATTTTTCTACTATTTCATCTCACCAAAGCGTTTTTAGCAATGGGTAGATAATTTCACTTTTTAAAAACCCATATCTAACTTTTCTGTTGATTTGACACTGGTATTTATTAATTGTGTATTTTCATCCATCCTGAGGTCTTGTTGAGTTTGGGTGTGATATGAACATTTAGCAGTTGTATATTATGGAATTCTGAATTTCTTTTCTTCCCTCCTCATCTACTTCTTTCCCTTGTTTGACACCCACAGGCCCTCTTGCATGAGTGCTGTGTGGCTACTGGCATCACAGAGAGGAGAGAGGCTCAACAAGCCCCTTCCCCAGGTTCTGCTTACACAGTTGCCAGAGCAGGCAGTTGCTGGGAGCTGTTACCAACATGGGGGTGGGCTTCTCTTTAGTGCGGCTGCCTTTGAGTCCCCCACGCTCCTATATAGAACTCTAATGAACTCAACTAAGCCAGATATAGAGAGAATTGTTTCCTTGCCTGTGGTCAGCGCCCTATCTTCAGTGAATAGGTATTTGCTTACGTGTACCCATGTAAAGTCACATAAGGGTTAGTCAAGAACTCTGCTACTGAACGATAGCCCAATCTGAAAAGAGTGTATCTGAAACCTTTTTAAACATCTCTTCAGGGCTGTGGTATAGAGTCCTTTTTTATATATAAACTGGGATAGATATTCATTTCTGCTTGGATCTGTCTGTACTAAGTAAGGGAGTGGCTTCTAGCACCCATAAAGCCCACAATAGCTCCCAGTGGGAGCGAGTGGTGCTCCATCCCAGCACCGCATAGATACGGTGGGCTGGCCTCGCTCCCACTGGACAGTACCGTAGCTGTTGTCCTTCCACCAGGTGCCACTCTGGTCGAAAAGAGGTCAAGTCTCTCATTCCTGTTAGGTGAGACACACGAAGTCCAAGCTCCCCCAGTGTCTCTGCTGACTTACAGGTGTGGGCACCTTCACTACCTCTGGAACTAAAATG